ATGATGGGGGACGTGGGATTTGCTTGGATAGTCAAACCGTATTCCAGAATACTCAGGAACATGCCAACCTTCCTATCAACTCTGGTTTCGTAAAATGGGAAAGGGGAGGGGGAATGCTGCAAGTAAAAAGAAGGGTACCATGTCCTAAATGTACAATATAAGGGTCAAAAAAGCACCAAGTGGACCTTTAAGTACCAAAACCTATGTATTAAAGGCATGTCATTTTTTTATTATGTGCACATCATTAAAACAGATAAAATCACAACACAAATATTTGTCAAAGGAATTCTATAGAGCTCATCCAGAAAGTGTGTCACACCCCAGCAAAGATAATTACATAAAAAATCAGTATCCATCTTTGATAGTAATTTATACTCAAATTTCAACACTATTACAATTTCATACTGGGTGTGGGACTAGCCCTGAATGTGTTTCCCGGAATTTAGTTCCACTTCTTCAGCAGTACAGATGAGATGTACAATCTAAGAAAGAGCTTGAATATATTTAAAAAAAACCCACACAATAAAAGTGAGCATATCAAAGGGAAAAAATGATGATGACTGCTCCCCCACCACTCCTCCCGCCCACCCACACCTACACAATTATTTATTTACCTGCATGTGTGTGAGATTGGTGGTAGGGGAGCACTCGTCATCATTCTTTACCTTTGTGCTGTAATGTTTTCTATGTTTTAATGATGTGTAAATAATAAAAAAAATGATGTGCTTTAATAACACATTGGTTTTGGTACCTAAAAAATTTCCTTGATGCCTTGACCCTTATATCATCAATTCTGACTCGCAAGTCGAGCAAACCCCCTTCCCTATCTCTTATCGGCAGTGACTGTTGCAACTGCTTTAACGGTTTTTTTATTACTTTTATTTTACATGTATGTATTTATTTGTTTTGTCTGAAATTTATTTTCAATCTAAACAATAAGAGCTGGTTTTAAAAAGGCAAACTTTAAAAGCTTAAAAAAAACAGAACAGCACAAAATAATAAGGTAGCAGCGAACCCAAACCTCATTTCTATGTAAAAGTTTAAAGTGGTAAAAATTGTTTTTTTTTTTCCAAGCTATTAAAGTTTGCTTTTTCAAAAACAACTCCTGCTGCGTAGATTTAAATGAAATGTCAGTCAAAATAAATAAGCAGGTACATATAAACTTGAGTTTCTGAGGTTCACGGTCCTGATGCTTTTATGCAGGAATTCTGTAGACCAAATACTTTTTAACAATAATGCACTGCCTGGCCTCTTGGATAAATTAGCCTTAGTAACAATGCCGCCATGTTGATAATGTGTTCTTATTGTGATAGAGAGAGCTTAGAAAGTACTGTTGACAAACTGTATAGAGAAAAATTATTGTTGTAGAGCTTGTAGACACTGGCAGGTCTGTTAAAGTACATGTAAACCCTTACTGAGTGACACGTACAGTAGGTAGCAATATGCTGTGTATCGCTGAGCATTGAAGGTGTTGGGGAAGGCAAGGTTTTTACCTTTTTCATAATTTGTTATATCTTAATGCTGCTGATATATTGCAGCCATTTTACTGCCTGTCTCTGTCCACAATCACTACAGTGATAACAGGTCAAATTTGTTTTTCACAGGGCATGTCCTGATTGTTGCTGGCTGCAATTGTTCACAGGCTTTTTGTTTTCTTTTTAATGGTGACAACATAGGATTATGCCTGCCCACATGGAAGAAAAATATATTTGAAATATATTTTAAAAATATTCTTCCAAAATATATTGACATATATTTGAAATGCTACAATTTTGGCCACATTCAATATATTTCAAATTATATTTCAATAAATAATGTTTATAATAATAATAATAATGTTGAAATACGTTTTTATTACAAAATGTATGAAACATATATTTAAAAATACATTCAAATATACAGTATGTCTTTAAAAATACAAATCTACATTTTTGGAATGCATTTAGAAATATATGTAAAAATATATGTTAAAATGACTTTTTTTATGTTAAAACAAATCTGAAAAATATATTTTAAAAACATATAATTTTAAAAATATGTTTTTTAAATATATTCTTCAGATTTTTTTAACATATAAAAAAGTCATTTTAACATATATTTTTACATATATTTCTAAATGCATTCCAAAAATGTAGATTTGTATTTTTAAAGACATACTGTATATTTGAATGTATTTTTAAAAATATGTTTCATATATTTTGTAATAAAAATGTATTTCAACATTATTATTTATTATTATTATTATTATTATTATTAATTATAAACATTTATTGAAATATAATTTGAAATATATTGAATATGGCCAAAATTGTAGCATTTCAATTATATGTCAATGTATTTGGGAAGAATATTTTTAAAATATATTTCACGTATATTTTTCTTCCATGTGGGTGAGCAATGTACATCAGCACAAAAGCTTATAGTTTCTTCTGGGAGAGCATGTGACAATGTTATTTTCCAGCATGGGGTGAGGTACATGGGTAGAGCGTTGTCACCCCATAACATGAAGTGCTCAAAACAAGGACCCTTATATCAGTATCACCAGCTGTTATTTTCATGATAGTTAGTGATTAAATTAAAAAAGGCCTAAGTGATATCACATTAAGCTTGTAGGTTATTTTAGTATTTGAGTCTACTGTAGCAACCTATGCTTGAGTTCTTTAAATTGCAATACTGAGGTACATTTTCTTATGTGCCCTGACTGTGTGCTTAAGTCCAAACCCCAAAATTATTTTAAAAGATAAATATAAAAAAAAGATAAATTTAACTTTAACCACTTCCCGTCCGGACGCTGTATATAAATGGCCAGACGGTGGCCGTGCAGGGACGGGTTGCCGTTCATAAATGGCTCCCGCCATCTTGGATTGTGCGCTTTCCCAGGGGACACCGATCACTGTACGGGACCTCTGTGTGAGGTCTCGATCACATGAATAGGTGTAAGCAAGATGTCACTTCTGACATCATTGCTTACTACGTGCGAAATCTGTGAATGATCACAGAGATCACATGGTACAAGGCTATTCACAACAGCCTTGTACCATGTGACAAGCTGTGACCAATCACAGCTCACACAGTATTTCCCAATGGCTGCAAGAATGCAGCCAGAGAGAAGGAGAAATGATTGCTTTTACAGCCTTTATGGGTAGAGATAGGCCGAAACATGCAAACACACGGCAGATGATTCAGCAATTATTATTTTTTTAAAGCATCAAGAAAAGATGCCAGCCTGGGTATACCTAAAGGCGTCAACCTGAGGGTTGTTCTGAGTCAAAGTTCAGCTTCTCCAATCACATTATCCCTTTGCTGTGCTGAAGGCCCTCTTTTATATGGCACGTGCAGCAGTTAAACTAGCAACTCAAACACATATTGTGCCACCTTTTTGCAATGGTACATCCTTAACATCCAGTAGTTCAAGTTATGATTGCTTGCAAGTGTTTTGGTTAGAACCTTGTTGTTCCTGCCCCTGTTTGCTTGACCAAGGCAGGGTGGGGCAGCTTTACGAGAAAAAAAAAAAGAGTATAAAAAAATGTAAATCTGCAAATATCATTTAACAAAAAAAACATAAAAAAAGTTATAGTGGGTGGAAGAAATATTAATGTGGGACTGCCCAGGCCTCAGACTAGAGGAAGGGGTCTGTTCTCACCAGCTGGTATTGAAGCAGTTGAAGTGTTTTGCTGGCATACAGGTGAAAGAGAAAGAGGGGTGTCCTATTGGTAATATCGCACATGCATAGATACAGTAGCTAGGTCTGTGCTACTGTACAGTATGTATGTAATTGCCACCTTCCAGTATATTAGTAGGTGAACTTGTATATTGTGTATATAGAGTTTACATACAGCTCTTGGTATTTCACTTAACCCTTTCCCCTCTGATCTGGGAGTTCTATAGATAGGTTTAACTTTGATAGTTAGCATAGGCTAGAGCCAGGTTAGGCATCCAATGTCCACTTCTCTTAGTTAGAGGTCCAGCTTCATGACAGGTTAAAAATTAATAGGGACGAAGATTCAGAGTAGATGGGCTGGCTTTGAGTACCAGAGTCACACAAAGGTTTCTGCTGGTTAGAATCTGCATTCTAAGCTGGTTGGACAACAGTTAGAGGATCTCCCCTTCACTGCTGATCTTGCCTTCAGGTTTCCAACACAATGAATGCCACATCACGATCATCCACAGGGGCCCCTGCAAATGAATTTAGCTGCAACATTCATCTATATGTATCTTTATTAACTATATATACCCAGGTATGCAAGCACACTTCCACCAGGACTCCTGTTGGACCCTTTGCTGACAATACCTGTTTGTACATTGTATGTATATATGTATTATTATTATTTTATAAAGCTTGTATTATTTCCATACTGGCATGTATCTATATACATATGGTTGATGTTATATGCTATTTGCAGTAGTTACTTTGCTCTCAATTACTTTGATTAGATTACTGGTTAATTTCCCAGGAAGGTAATCCCCTCTATTCTCAGAGGCCCTGTCTTAGGTGGAAGCAGTGCCAACTTTATTAAAACCCACTCTTCCACTGAAAGTTCTGGCTCTCCTATTTACCTACAGGTTTAGTGCACTATAGTATTTGGGGAGGGTCATTTCTCATACCTCCCTCAACACTGGGCTACACATGTAAATAAAAAGCATATAAAAAGCATTATGGTGGTTGGGAATATGTTACTGTGGGGTCACCCAGGGCAGAGACTGGAGGAAGGGACTGTTGTGACCAGTTTTTCACCATTTATGATTCTAGGAACTATTCTTGCTTGCTAGGCACAGGGTGTTAAGCCATGCAACAGATTAAAGGACTCCCATTTATCTGCAAGCTCCAAAAACACAACACAACTTTAAGTTATGGATGTCAACAGATAAATATCAGCAGGGTCATGGATATGCTACATGAGATGAATAGAAGCACTGGTGTCAGAAGGCTGCCAAATACCGCAGCACTTATCCCTGTCACTGGTCTTACTGACAGCAGTAAACTCAACTGAAATTGCTGCATGAATGGAGGAACTTGCGTCTTAGGAAGTTTCTGTGCTTGCCCAAAGCATTTCACTGGACGACACTGTGAATTTGACGAAAGGAACAAGAACTGTGCTGCCAAAATCAAACATGGAGACTGGCTTCAACATGGCTGCAGATTTTGTCGGTGCACCTACGGCGTTCTTCACTGCTTAGAGGAATTTAGGCAAACAAATTGTGATCCTGCAAATGATGACATTTGGTTAGAATTACATTCTATTGGAGCAATATTGCATTCAAGATCACATGTGTTATTTTTATTTTCTTGTTATTTTTTTAATTTCATGTTAGTTGGAAACCATTTAGGATTCAAAAAGTAACTCAGAGCTTGGTTATATGAACAAAAATGTACTAAAAAGTTCAATATGTTTTGGATGCGCTAAATCATTCTTTAGATTCAGTATACTGTATGCACACAGAAATACTATTTATGCTTCCCGTGGAAGAATTATTTAACATTTTATTTATTAATTATGTATTTAATTTAATTTCCCTTGTCTTCTCCTCCCATGCTCGTCTCCAGGACTTCTCCAGAGCTTCCCCCATCCTCTGGAACTCTCTACCCCAATTTATCAGACTATCGCCTACTCTGCTCACTTTTAGGCGATCTCTGAAAACCTATCTCTTCAGGGAAGCCTATTCTGCCCTCAGCTAATAATGGAATCTTCTACTCTTCCTACCAGTTCATCCCCCACAGTTATTACCTTTTGTACCACTAACCCCTCCCTTCTAGATTGTAAGCTCCAAGGAGCAGAGCCCTCCTATCCCTCTTGTATTGAACTGTATTGTTGCTGTATTGTCTCCCTTTATATTGTAAAGTGCTGAGCAAACTGTTGGCGCTATATAAATCCTGTATTATAATAATAATCTTTAAAATATTTAAGGCACTGTCACTGCCCATGCTTACTTGACCTGGGTAGGGATGGTCTTACAAAAAATGAAAAAAAAAACACCAGAAAATAAAATTGTTATAAATAAATATTGAAAATAAAAAAATTATGGTGGTTGGGAAAATGTTAACATGGGACAACCCAGGCCAGAAACTTTGAGCTAAATATGGGAGGAGTTTTGAGTGAGTGATCCTATCTGTTAGGTCATTCAGTGTGTTTTCTAAGACAGGAAACCTTAATAATGATCCACTTATGTGGTGAAATACTCCAGAGCCATAATCACAAAGGAGGAGGAAAAGATCGAGGGGAGGAGGAGTAGAGGGAGGAGGAGGTGAAAGAAGAGGAAAATGAAGAAGGGAAGGGGAGTAAAGGGAAGAGAAATTGGAGGAGGGGAAGGAAAAAGTGAAGGAAGAAGGGGATGTGGAGTAGAGGAAGGAGGTGGTGGGAGAGAAGTAACATTAGCAATGCTCGGCTTAGCACTTGCCGCTGGCTTACTTTCCTCTTGATCGTAGAATTTTCCACCTCCATTTGCCTCTGCCTGTCCTTATCTTTGATCTTGTGGAAGGGTGGACAGAATATGGCTGTAGGCTTACCTTTACAATGTCAGAGCACCGAAATAGGCCTGAGGATGGCAGGAGTTAGTAATGGTTGCAGCATGGCAGTATTTGTTCTAGGATGTTGTATATTATGTGAGGCACTTCAGGGAACTTCTAGTACAGAGGAGTCTGAGGATAAGGTCAGTGAAGAATCGTTGGTACTGTTGATTGTACTGTCACCATCAGATAAGATACATGGCAACACCACTAGCTTTAGTGGTGTTCCCAATCCTGCATCTTTCTCTCCTGTCAGAAGATTGACTCAGTATGTTGTAAATGATTTGTAGTGTCCCTGCTCATGCTTACTGGATGAGGCTGCAGACTACAGAAGTATTGTTGGCAGCAGATATATTTAAAATGCCCACACTTCAGAGCTCATTGGACCAGTTCATGATATGCCAGTGGCCTGTACCTTTGGAGAAGTTCTGCCAAATGGAATAGGACAGCTGCTCCCTTCAGTCCTCTGCAAGCTGCCCCTGCCTCTGAGGTAAGTCCTCCTTCACTGCTATTCTGCCTCTCCCTCAGAACTTTCTTTCTTTACAATCAGTGGCACACACTAAAGTTCTACCATTTCATCATTCACTCTCTCCTCATAACTGAAACCCACTTTATAGTAAGGTTCAGCTGTTGGAACATCAGTTCCTCTTGCTGCACCCTGGCTGATGTCCCCTCCCTTTATGGTCATGGCACTACCATCCTTAGCCACAATATTTGAATGGAAGAATGCTTGCTGTGGATCAAGATTATATAAAATATGTAGTGCAGCGCTAAATCAACATGACCTTAATCGTTAGTACCAGTAAAACACAATATAAATCACCATATAAAGAATAATTATGGATAACGTCCGTACGACCATATATCAAAATGGTAAATGTCCCACAGTAGTGCAAATTATTCCAATATTAAATTTCAACAGGTGGATCAATAGGTGACTTCTCCTAATCCCAGTGATAACTGTAGTCCGGTGACGTGCGGAAAGAAATGATAAGATTGCACACTCACCAGAGGCGCAATATAAATGCACATATAAATCAGATAAGCCCGAGGTTCCCTCAATTCTGGGAAATATGCAGCCTGGAATGGACAACCTCTTCTATAGCTTCTAGAGGTCCCCTTTAGGTCAGCCAGATGTCAATGCTTGGGCTTTTAAAAAAAAAAAATTTGATGTCTGGCTGCTATGGCGCACACCCCCTTTGAAAATGTACGTTTGATACGAAATGCATTAAGGAGGAGCCCCGCACGCTGAGAAGTCACGCTGCCGGATCACGGAGGTCCGGTGGCCATCTTTTTAACAAGCTGGTTAGTGCAACCAGCAGCCTTTAGGCTGCATGCTACCTATTTACAGATTTTTACTCCATACTGACCCATGAGTGATATTTGAATGAACCCAAGGTGACCATCCGAGGGCCCAGAGGAGAGACATCTGTTGCAGACCCTCACCGCAGACCTAAAGGGGACCTCTAGAAGCTATAGAAGAGGTTGTCCATTCCAGGCTGCATCTTTCCCAGAATTGAGGGAACCTCGGGCTTATCTGATTTACATGCGCATTTATATTGAACCTCTGGTGAGTGTGCAATCTTATCATTTCTTTCCGCACGTCACCGGACTACAGTTATCACTGGGATTAGGAGAAGTCACCTATTGATACACCTGTTGAAATTTAATATTGGAATAATTTGCACTACTGTGGGACATTCACCATTTTTATATTCAAATAATTTTTATTGAAAAATTTCAACATACAAAAAGGAAATATGTGAACATTTACATGGAACTGGAAGGGTTCACATTTGAGGAACATAATACATGAAAAGAGAAATAAGAGTGGAGGATCCCCACCATTTGGCCGGGGAGACTATACATTCAAGTTGTGTACATGAGAGGTATGCTCATTGTCTCGTGAACCTTTCTAGAGGTTGATAGAGTATAATTGGGGGAGGGAGATAGGATATGGGGAGGAGGGGGGAAAGGAGGGCACCAGTGCAGTAGGGGTAATGTATATTACAATGGGTAGTATTAGTAATCAATTTACAGAGCAGTTTGGGTTTTTTAGCCATCGAGACCATTGGGCTTTAAATTTGTGATAGAAGGAGTTGTGGAGGGCTATTCATCTTTCCATCTCACATTGGAGATTGATATCGGATAAGAGGCGGGACAGAGGAGGGGTGGTGGTAGATCGCCATAATTTGGTAATATTAGTTTTTGCAGCTGCTAACGTGTGTACAATGATGGTGCGTGAGTTTATAGGGAAATTATCTATGCCAATATGTAGGAGAGCTAAGGCGGGGTTTGGGGTTACTAACGTATCTGTAATTGAAGAGATTATTTGAAAAACCTTGTTCCAATAGGACTTTACTGACTTACAGTTCCAGAGTATATGGAGAAGTGAACCAGATTCTCCGCAATGTCTCCAGCAGGCTCGCGAGTGTTGTGGATAGAATAAGGATAATTTAGTGGGGGTTAAATACCATTCGTGAAGGATTTTCAAAAATGTTTCCCAGTGGGAGGAACATTTTGAGGCTTTGTAGGTGATGGTGAATGTTTTTTCCCATGTGTGTGGGGTTATTGATTGGAGAAGATTTTTCTCCCAATTGGTTAAGGAGGAGGTATATGTTGCAAATTGCGTTTCGGTTATAAGTGTGTAGAAGGTTGATATTCCTTTTTTTGGATAGATCGTTCTATGGAAGAAGTGGTGTGCAGTTACAGGGATTCCTGTTGTGTGCAAAATATTTGCTTTGTGAGACATTCACCATTTTGATATATGGTCGTACGGATGTTATCCATAATTATTCTTTATATGGTGATTTATATTGTGTTTTACTGGTATTAACGATTTTAAGGTCACGATGATTTAGCGCTACATGTTTTATATGGTTTTATAGAAGGTTTTATGGTTTTCCTTTTTAGTGTTCTAGCTGGTTCTTTGCATCTAAGCGCTCGCTGAATTTGACGTTTCTTCTTGTGGATCAAGATTGTCTTTTTGCAGCAGGAGGAGGAGGAATAAAAGGGTCCATTAGTAGCAGTTACAGACAACTGGCTGCTCTGCACCTGGGTAGAGGAATACAAGGACAGCTTGTCAACCACTTAACTACCCTCCTGTGCATTCTGTGGCTGTGTAGTCAAACCACTTTGTGGAAGAAAAGGCTACTATGCTCTACCTCTAGATGCTGCACCTGAATAGAATCTGCTCACCCCTTACTTCCTTCCTCCACATGCAGAACCTCTCTCACTTTAGACCTGCCTAATAAATAATGAAGGGGATTTCCTAAGCTTTTTGGCAGATATAGGGATAATATATAGGTGGTGCTTGGTATACTATATATTGCTTTCCTGCACTAGTATGCGGTGACGAACTGAAAACAAGGGGCAGCTTTGCCTGTGGCAGAAAGAAGTATATGCTGCAAACAAATAATAACCTTAGAAAGCTAAAATAAAAAACATCTCCCCCAGAAAATAAACCCTGCACCACTTAACTCCAACCCATTTTGTAACCTAGCGGAAAGATAAAAAGCAATATTGATGGAGTAAAGCAAATTGGAAAATTATGGATGGACCATTTTTAAAACTACGTAATATGAAGAAAAAAAAATTTTAAATTTAAAAACGCAGATAAAACAACAAAAATGACTACAAAGGGATAGCACATAAACAGTAACTATAATTGTTGCTGACACACAAAAAAAATGTAAGAGGATTATTGTAGTGAGTTTTCTGTAGGTAAACCAAAACTACATGTAAAAGTTACAAAAAAATTACACATCCAAAATATGTGATGCCAGAATACGGTGTCTCTGTGAAAACCATACTGTTTCATACAGGCATCTCTCCAGCATGTAATTTAAAGGTTCATTCTCAATGGTGGATTAAAGGGATCCACTCCCTGCTTTAAAGTATTTGGACTATTTTTTTCTTGCTTTGTAAATATCCCCCATGACAGTGCCTATATCCCCATGCCATTTTTTTTACAAAAGCTTGCCTGTTAGCCTTGAAAATGGTCAAATATTGCATGACCCCCCCCCCCCCCCCCCCCCCCCACCATGGACTTCTATACAATTCACTGTTAAGTTTGGGTTTCTCAAATATCAGATTGGATTTTATGAACCCCAGAGAGTCTAATTTTTCTTG